AGGAACCACTAAGTTCAGTTGTGTGTCACACTGTGTGGTGGTACTTTTAACATGCAAAACTGTGACACACACACAATGCACAAATGTGAAATGTATTTTCCTCCTCACTTGTTTAATATCTGAGAGAAAACTAACTCATGCAAACACTTTTCCTGCATGCTTTTTAACATAGATTTAAGCAGACTGACCTCACAGCTGAAAATTCTGATTATAATTCTGTTCTTTTAAATAACAATTTAACAAAAACACACAATTAACTGATTTCATCTGTCATCATTTTGGGCATTTTTGCAGTTTTCATGCTCAGGGATGCTTGTTGATTTGCCGTTATGTATTAAAAATACATTGCAGGAAGAGGTTTGAGTGTTACATGTAGCGGTGTGTGTGTGTGTGAGTGGGTTTGTGTGCTGGTCTGTGTGTCTCCAAGTCTCAGACGAACATGATTCATAGTTAGGGGTCTGTGTTTGTTAGATTTCAACGTGGATCTTTATTTCTTTTCATATATTTTGACTGTGATAATGAAAACTTTGATCAGACTAAACAGACCTAAAGAAACATTAAATGTGGAAATGTTTGGGGTTCTTTTAGAAAACAAAAAAATGCTGGTGGTGTTAGAGCATACACACATGCACTAACACCACCAGTAAACGTGTGTGTGCATGCGTGCGTGCGTGTGTGTGTGTGTGTGTGTGTGTGTGTGTGTGTGTGTGTGTGTGTGTGTGTTGGCCCTTCTGTCTCCAAATCAGTATGAGGCAGAGTGTGTATCTTTGTTCAGTGTATGTGAGAGCAGACTTGCGTTCAAAAAAGTCTTGTGTATTGTGACACAGTTGGTTTAAATGGTTTGTAATGGGATCTCTTTCATTTTTATTCTCTTGCAGAATAAACACTTGTGACAGCAGCCACCGTAGAAGGCAGCTCTCCACGCTCAGCACCATCTCCTCAGCTGGAATTAAAACACACATAACGGGTAAATTACATGTTGTATGTTTCATGTCATAGTAAAAAAACAAATTACAGCAAATGACATAAATTCTGTGCACTGTGTCCAGTTGCATTTGTACAAAAAATTTACTCATTATCCCTTTTTTAAACACAAAATTACTGACTAATAGAAAAAGAAAACTGTAAAATATTATTTGATCAGAAAGCACAGCTGTTGGTGGCTTATTTTTTTAAGTTAGAAGCCTTACTAGTGGCTGATCTTTTAAAATTTCAACACACATGACAAATGAGTCAATTTGTCTGCTTCCAGAAGTTGCCAGTGTGGAAAAAAAGGAGAGATTGTAGAGTTTTATACAAGTAAAAATGCAATATTAAAACAAAACAAAACAAAACAAAACATATATTATACCAAGCCAATAACGACTGATGTGTGCTGTAATGTTTGTCTTTGACAGTCATCCCTCCACTAAATTAAACTACAAGATGTTCAGATGTTAAACTGCTGTCTTTTTTTGTTGCTGAAAATACAATGTAGACTCCTATGTGTGTCCTCAGATTGCAGCTGCTGTGAGGCTGCTGTCGCCGTCGGATGGAGCAGGAATGTAGGTATGTAGGAAATCAAAACACGGAAAGCTAAATTGTAAACGTTGGTTGTAATATTGTTGAGAACGTGTCTGATGACTGTGTCGGTTGTCAGAGGTTTTTAAGGCTGTGAACATGACTCCCTGGGCAGATGTTTGCGAAAGGAACTGTCAGTTTTTGGAGTTCAGAAAGAGAAGCCGGAGTCCTGTGTAACTCGTGGATATTTGCGACCATCAGGGCAGACTTTGAGACTCAGTTATAAAGTAATCACGCGGTGTTTTGCTTGTGTTAGGATGCTGCGTTATGTGACCGGGATGCTTCTTCTGAAAAGTTATTATTAAGCCTTAAAGGAGTAAGTTGTGTTACAGACGCTAACCGGTGGATATCATCAGCTGAAAGGGCAAAAATGGGACAAGGAGCAGCCGCTGTGGGGAGGACAGCTGTGCGTAAAGGACGCGGTCTTCTTGCTCCTCTCTGTCAGCTGTTTGTCTGATGCTCGGACAGTTGTGGAATCAGGGCAAGACAGAGGCCAGTTTTTTTTTGTTTTTGTTGATATGTATAACTTATGTGAAACTTTATTCGTGTTAAAGGGGAGGTTCTGCGTGTCGCTGTCCACTTCTGCTGCGCTAAATTGCGCATTTCAGCACCACGGAGGTGGACAGCAACAAACAAAGCCCTGAGAATTCAAAAAAAAAAGCAAGAAAGAAAATGAACTGTCCTCTAGACTCCGGAAAAGTGTGTGTTTAAACTGCAACAGTGCCAACAAAAGCCTTATATGCTATTTAGCTAATGTGGGGAGGGAGAGAGGTTGACATCAGTAGTGACGGTCGAGGCATTTTTATTGTTTTTGTCATCGTGAGAAATTATCGGCACAAAGGAAACGTTTGTCCGGAACGCTGCACTTTGTGTGTGAGTGAGTGTGTGTGTGACTCTTTTTTCCTTTTCTTTTACATGATATTTAAATTCTGTTCATTTTTGCCAACCTTAAAAAAAAATCATCGTCACATTAACAAAATGCAAGAATAAAATTGGACTCAGGAGTGTGAAGGTATGGAAAGAGAAACTAGCAGGAACACGGTGGGGGCAACTACTGATTTGTGGTGTTGTGGTGTCAAAGTGGACGGTGGGATTAGAGGGTGTGTGTGTGTGTGTGTGTGTGTGTGTGTGCGTGTGTGTGAGTGTGTCTGTCGTTAAAATGAGGTGAGCACGAGGCTCTGATAAAGTGAGAGAAAGTGTGTGTGTGTCTGTGTGTTGAGAAGAGAGGGCAGAAAAAGAAACGTGAGAGCAGCTTTGTGTTGCAGGATTGAGGGGAGCTGGTGTGTGTGAGAGAGTGTGTGCTCAGGGCCATCGGTGCTGGGAGTTGTGTATCCATTTTTCATGTCTACAAAACAAAAACGTGAAATTAGGAAACACTCGA